CCTGCGGCCTTCAGATGGCAGCCCACGCGCCCCCGCCCCACTTCTGCAGGGCCTTCGGGGCATCGCCATGGCAACCGTGTGAGTGCAGCCTTCATCCAAGGGCTGTGGAGAAACCCAAACACGGCCTGGGTTAAATGCAAGGGGAACAGGCTGGGAGGCAGCTCAGTGACACGGCATCTGCCTGGCAAGCACAGGTCCTGAGTTTGAATCTTGGTACAAAAACCCCCAAGGGAATCAAACCGAGCATGGTGGCGCACGCCTGTGACCCAGCACTCAGGAGGCTGAGGCAGCAGGACTGCTGCAAGTTCAGGGCCAGCCTGGGCCACCGAAGAGCTCACAGCCCGAACTGCACAGCGAGACCCTGTCTCAAAAAAAGCCAACCAAGCAACCAAACAAGCCATCACGGAAGTCAGATTGTTGGGTGGGGACTAAGGCAGGACACAGGCACACTGACAAACTCACATCCCGAGCACGCTGGTCCACAGCCCACCGCACTTGGGAATTTCACCGTGAAACTGGTCCGGAACCAAGACCAGAGCGGAAGGGCTTGCCTGCAGCTCAGATTCGGACACGAGCTAGGCGCTGTACTCGGGGTCCAGGCGACGGCTGGCAGTCACCGCACAGAACTGGAAGGCGGGGTGTCATGGACTGCCAGGACCGTCTCCTCAGAAGTCACCACTGGCTGTCCGCTGACCCCCACCCCCCCAGGCGTGCTTCTTGGGGTGCGCATGCCCTTCTGTGTGCTAACGGAAGCCGCCCCCAGCAGTTCAGTTTCTTTAGGGTGGGCTGGAAGTTAGCTCGCCATGTCTTTATCATTGAAACAGTTCTTAGGGGTTCTGCCAAAATCCAAACTGCGGCTCTAAGAAAGGAAAACATGTAACCCGTCAGGACCTTATCATCTGAATAGTGATCTATCACTGTGATTTTCTGCTCTTTTCCAGACCAAGTTTTGCTAGGTAGCTCAGCTGGCCTCAGCCCCACGTGAGCCTCCTGCCTCAGCCTCCTGAGCGCTGGGTCACAGGCGTGCCCCACACACTTCGCCTTAACCGTTATTCTAAACCCATGGAAATGTGCGGACCGGGACAGCCGCAGACACTGAGACACTGCGGCGTCAGTGCGACCCTGGCCTTCCACAGCTAAGTTAACACCCTGCCACTGAGCCACCTCCTCTAAGTTGGGGTGCTTTTTTTTTTTTTTTTTAAGAACAATGCAAATAATATAAGACTTCAAAACAAGACAACAGGAAATCAGCAGTGGCTACCATAAAAATGTCTCATTTTCTTCAAAACAACTGTTCACACCATCACATACAATAAAATCAAACAAAACAAAACAGAACTAAACCAATCAAAATAGAAGAATGAAAGCATTGTAGGACTTCAAAACAAGATAGCAGGAAATCAACATGATAAGTATCTTGTTTTCTTCAAACCAGCTGTCCTGGGTTGCTTTTTGTGATTTTCAGCACCACTAAATTGTTGATTTCTGGATTTCATCTTTAGCCCCACAAGAGCTCTTTCCAGCTGTCAACGTAATTAAAATAATTCATAACCCAAGCCTTGCACACTTGGGGTGTCTGTGGGGGACACATGTAAAAAAGATGGTGTTTGTATTCCTGTGTTCATCTTGCCCGAGTAGAGAACAAGACGTGGTGCATTAGACGCGGTTACCAGATACGGCCAACAGTGCACACAAGCGTACGGAGGGACGCTGCTGGCCACGGTCAGACCCCATGAGCACAGCGTGGGAGGTCACCCGGGCGAGGACGAGCCACAGTGCGGAGCCAGGGGCCCGGTGGTGGTGAGGCTGAGGCTGACCAGGGAAAGCCAGCAGGTGCAGGCGACTCCTGGCCAGCTGGGGGACCGTCAGCACTTTCAGCAGAGGTGCCCGCCTGGCCAACACCGAGGTTAGTGAACTTCAGGATCGGGGCAACAGACCACGGAGCACCCATGTCCGAGTGAAGGAAGCAGGCCTGGACCCCCGAGAACGGGGCCGCCCCCACCCACACCGTCCCCAGTGCACCACAGATGCCCTCGGACTGAAGAAATCCCTGCCTCGGGGAAGAGCACTGCTGGGGAGAAGCAGCAGAGCACAGGGCCGATGGCTGCAGGGTCAGTGTCCAGAGGGTCGCCTGTGTGCCACACCCCTGCCCGGGGTTCCCTGCAGTGTCCATCGGAGCCGAAGACCCTCGCTCCGAGCTCATCTGCTCACTTGGCACGCGGCTGTGGCTGTCACTGTCACTGCACCGGGATCTGCTTTCTGTCTCTCACTGGAGTCTGAGCCAGCTTCCAGGCGGGCTGGACAGTGCAGGGCTCCCCTTCCCGTGGGTCGTCCTGCAAGCCATCTGGCACTAGGACCATCATCAGGGACACCTGATGATGGCGCTTCCTAGCCAGCCGTAGACCTGCACGCCTGTAATCCCGGCACTCTGCAGGCCGAGGCAGGAGGATCACAGCAAGTTTGAGACCTGCCTGGGCTCCCGAGTGAGCCGAAGGGCAGCCTGCACTGCATAGTGAGACTCCATCAAAAAGAAAACAAACAAACAAAGGCCCTTGGAGAAAGATGAAGCTTCCTTCAGAAGTCACCAGGCCTGCTGAAGGCCGCCAGAACGCTCTCCCTGTACCAGCCTGGACCCCTTCCCTGCGCTGCACCCTTCCTGCCTCACTTTCTCTGTGGGACCTGGACTTTGCAGCAGTGGGCAGTGCTGGCCCCTGAGGAGTGTAAATCTGTGCCCGATGTCCAACTTGTGACGTGGTAAGAATAGGCACATCCTCGCACCAGAGACTGGCCTAAAGAAATGTGCCCGCGTGCTCACTTGGGCAGCACATATACAAGGAAATGTGTCTGATGGCCAAGTGGACAAGGGCGGATGGTTACGCTTGATACATTCTGCCAACTGAAGAAGCCTAGAAGCTTAACTTAGCAGTCCAGCAGCTCTACACCGTGTGCAGAGGCCATGCCCTAACCCTCCAGGATGCTGCTCCCTCCCTGGGCCAACCTGGGGAGGCTGGAAGGTGAACGAGGTGGCTCAGCGGGGCCAGCGTCCTCACTCTGTAAACACCTCAGCTGTGCACGAGGGGGCACCAGACGGGGTGAGGGCCTCGCCCCGACCCCCGGGGTGGAAGGAGAAGAGGCTTGCTGCCTTGGAGTTGAGTGCCGCCCTGTGCCCCGCCGCCCACCGTGGAGCCAGCTGGTGTAGGGCTGAAACCTCGAGGCACTGTGAACTGAGTAACCCTCTCCCCCTTACCCTGGGCACCAGGCACTGTCTCGGCAATGAGGAAAACGTCACTAAGTGTGCCAAGTGTGTATGACGCTCCCGGGGGACAGGGTCCCCAGGGTCCTATGTCCTGAATCTTCAGGAGGCAGAGAGCCCAGGCCTGTGCCCTCTCACTGTCCTCTTCCCTGTCTCCAGGGCGGGCTCAGCCGTGGCGGTGATGCACGTTCTCACCTGCGGTACTGAGAGCCCTTAGTGACCCTGGGGCGCATAGGGAGTCCCCTCAGTATGGCTGCCGTGCCTGCCCCTGCGTGCCCCGTGAAAGCAGACAGTGCTTTAAATGCAAGGCCACGGATGCGCTGCCTGAGCTGAGCTCCTGCTGATCCAGGCCCCGGAGTCAGCAGCACTTTACATATGATGGCCTGGAGAGGGCAGGGAGAGGCTGTGGTGGGCAACGGACGGTCAACTCGTAACGCCCAGCTGACCTGAATCAGCGTGGTGCTGGGTGCAGAGGGCCCACCCGGGGGTGCTGCCAGCATAAAAAGGAGCCCTGGAGAGGAGGTGGTGTTGTGGGCTCTCCTGGAGGAGCCTGGAGCTTCGTTCTGGGTATGAACTTGGCTGTTCTCACTGTCAGAGGAGCTCGGGTCTTCACTGTCACTGAGAATGGCTACGGCTCACTTTGGGGGAGCTCTGGTCCTTACTCTGAGCATCTCTTCCTGGCTCTGGAGTGGACAGTGCTGTGCTATTTTTTTTTTTTTTTTTTTTTTGTACAGGGCATTGAACTCAGGACCCCACACCTGCCGGGCAGGCTGTTCAATCTGCTGGAGAAGCTTGTCGCCCGACTTCCTGATATGAACTTGGCTGTTATCGTCACTGCAGGAGCTTGGGACCTGGTTGTCACCGAGGATGGCTGAGGTACTTTGGGGGAGCTCTGGTCCTTACCTTGAGCATCGCCTCTTGCTCCCGTGCGGATCCCTCAGCCACTGGCACAGCTCACTCATCCCATGTTGCAGACTTTCTCGCTTCCACCGCTGACCCTGGAGCCTTCCCAGTGCATGTCCGTGAAACAGACTTGTACGAGTCACTGTCATGGGCTCTAGGCCTCCAGTTGGACCTGTGGGGGCACTGCTGTGGGCTCTAGGTTTTCAGCTGGACTCATGCGGGACACTGCCATGCAATCTAGGCCCTCAGCTGGATTCTCTGGGTCTTCAGTGTGTGGTCAGATTTCCTGCCCTTTTTTTGTGGTTGACTCTTTGGGCATTATTATAAAATAACTCTACAATTTTTGTGTCCTGTATTGAACTGTTTTCCTTGCAAACCCTGCCTACAGCAGTGATTCTTATTTAGAATAAAAATCTATGTGGTCCAACCCCCGGCGCATCATCCGGCAGAGCTTTGGTCTTACGCTCACTTGTATGTTTTCAATATAAATGCAAACACTGTCCTCACAGGTTCCCACTGGCTTGAGCCACCAGCGGGACATGCATGACTGTCTCATCTGGTAGCTTCCCCGGAGGAACAAGTGGCCCAGTTATGCATGGGACAGTCACGCTGTACCACCGGAGGGTCAAGCTGCCTGACAGTGACACGTGAATTACAGCCCCATTGTGCAGGGGGTAATTTCTGCCCTGCTTTATTTTAAATCTAAGGAGAGGACGACGAGTATCACAGTTTTAGGAACATGGCCAGTATGTGACTGGCCTTCCATTGGGGAGCGAGCACTCAAGGTGATAATCCCGGTTAGAAACAGCCAGGAACGTGGGAGGGTAACGAGGCAAGGACGAACCTGTAAGTGTTCCCGAACTGGCCTCTCCAGGTCTCCAGCTGGGCGGAGCACGGTCAGGGGACCCTGATGAGGCCATCTGCACCCTCAGACCCGCACAGTGGGAAGGGCTTTCAGCCAGCTGGGCCCAGGAGGTGGTGACATTCTGGAGGTCACGGTCATTAGCTTCAGCCAGGTGTTGCAGCTGTAGGGAAACCAGAGTGAGAGGCATTGCAAACGCTGTGCACCCACCAGGGTGGCTTCCTTGTCCAAGTCTGCCTCAGCCTTGCTGCCTTCCCTGTCTGGAACCTTGGGGCTGCTGGGATGACAGCTCCTGTGGCTGTCTGCACAGTCCCCAGCTCAGGCCCAAGCACTGAGGGTCTGTACAGTGCTCCCTCAATGAAAGCACCAACGTGGGGGCTGGGGATTTAGCTCAGCGGCGTAAGCGCCTGCCTTGCAAGCAGGCAGTCGTGAGTTCTATCCCCGGTACCGATAATAAGGAAAAAGATAAAAAAAAAAAAAAAAAAAAAAAAAAAAAAAAAGCACCAAGGTGACTGCAAAGCTCCCATCATCACAAGGACAGTTCTGCCCATGCGTCCTGTCACACGCAGGCTCCTTCTCCAAGAGGAAACCGTCCCCCCCCACACACACACAGAGCAGCCTCCCACACATCCCCCGCCTGCTGACTTCCCCTGTGAGCTCTGGTGAAAAAGGCCAGTGCTCAGGGTCTCCTTGGCACGAAGCAGAGCATCTCTCTTCTGCCCACCACGTTCTGTGCTGCACCCATCCCCAGTGCAGGAAGGCTTCCGGGAAGGGGCTCCGGGGTCCACACTCACATGTGAAAATGCAGGGAGAGAAACTGAGCAGTTACTCAGTAGGTGACAGATGCTGCGTGCAGCTGTTCACTGCTGCAAGCGGAGATGGACTCGAGGAGTCTCACCAGTTCCGAAGCAGGAGGCCCCTATCCTGGACCTAAGCTAGAGCAGAAGGTGCAGAATCCACCGTCTCCCGCCCGGCTCTTCCTGCTGTGGGCGCACTCAGCTGCCGGGCATCTGCCATGAGGGCAGCACTGATCCTACTCCCCGGAAACAGGGCTGTTGCTTGGCTCTTCCAGGTGGCACGATCCTGCTCTGGGCGCACCCAGGGCAGCTCCTGGGCCAGGTGCACGAATCCACCGTGGAATCCCTCTCCCTCGCCGCCGCACTGCTCGGCTCAGGCTGCGCCTAGGGACATGGGGCAGGCTCCGCTTCCCCTCAAGTTTCTCATCCAACTTTTCCTCCACCTACTCCACCACGACCCCACCCGCTCCGGGGTTTCCTGCGCTTGCACTGACTTCCTCTCCTCCATCCCTTCCCTCAGTTCTGGATTCTCAGGAGGTGGCCTCTGCTCATCTCCTACAAAAGACACACTTCCTCCTGTTGTTTTCAGCCACTGCGTAACAGCAGCCCCGAAGACACTCAAGACCCTTCGCCCGGCCACTCCCTCCATCAGTGCGGTCCCCCTAACCTTTGACCCCAGTGGAGCCCCCAGCCCACTCCCGTCCTCCTCCTGCAACTTTTTCCATGCTGAGCTTACCACACCTACCCAGGACATCCGTTCATGACGGGGTTGGAGAGCACAATATTGAGAGAGGACCACAGAGACCACCAGAGGGACAGAGACAGAAACCAACTCCAGGCGTCCGCAGCCCGCTACTCATCAGCAGCGGGATTCAGCCAGGCGAGGTGGTCCACGTGTGTCATTTCAGCACTTGCCAGGCTGAGGGAGGATCGCTTCCAATTCAAGCACTGCCTGGACCCTGCATCAAGGAGAAATAGAAGGTCCTCCTGAGACAGGCAATAACCCAGAAGCAGTGCTCATGACTCTTCAGTGGGGCCTAGAAAAGCCCAGTAAGAAACAACAGGGGGGACAAACTTGCTCTTCACGCTGGGAAACCACCCAGTCCTCAGCCTGGCACAGATGCAGGTTTAGACGGGAAGCAAGCGTGTCCTCCATTGTAAACGCTGCAAACACTACTGAGCTGGGGCCTGGAGTCCGCCCTGGCCCTGACTTCCTTCACAGGTCCTCGCACACGCTGAGGACGAGGAAACAAATCCCTCAGTAAACAGTCAGTACACCTAATGCAGGTGGCCAAATCAAGAATTGCGGGGTTTGGTTTGTCTTTTTGAGACAGGGTCTCTCTGTGCCCTTCAGGCTGGCCTTGAGCACACTTTGTAGCCCAGGCTGGTCTCGAACTCGCAGCGATCCTCCGGCCTCAGCCTCCGAGTGCTGGGACTGCAGGCGAGCGCCACCACGCCCGGCCAGAGTCACGTTCTTCTGACGTCGGGGCACTTTGGCCGGCATCTCTTACTCAAGGCCGAGCCGGAGGAAAACGCGGGCCACAGACGTCCCGACGGGGCCGAACCCGCACGGAAGCCCGGCCGTGCGCTCCTCAGTCCCGCTAAGGCCCTTCTCCCGTCGGAAGCCACGCCAACGTCCCTACCGATCATCCTCCGGGGCCGCACTACCGCCTCGCGACGGCGCGTCCACAGTTACTGGGCGACACGCCCCGCCCCGCCCCGCCCCGACGTCCGAGGTCGCACCCCGCGGGCGCCGCCTCCTTCACTGAGCGCTCGGAGGGCGTGGTTGGGCGCGCGTGAATTACGTCACTTCCTGTAGTCGCGCGGGAAGCCCGCCCTCCGGCTGCTAATCTGCAGAGCTAGCCAATGGTTGTGGCTCTAAACGGCTGAGCCCCAGGGTGTTTCCTTGGCAACCGGAAAGGCGCGTGGGCTTTCACTCTGCCGCCCAGGGCGGGTGAGTGGAGGCGGCCTGTTTCCTGTTGGGAAAATTCTGTTGCTCGTATTTTTTCCGTTTTTTTTTTTTTTTTAAATGAGAAATAGGTGTTAGTCATACTTTTTTTTTTTTTTTGGTACCAGGAATTAAACTTGAGACCTTTTGTACTTGCCAAATCTACAGTGATGTCACCTGTCTCATTCCTGTATTATTTGTCATTTTTCTTTTTTCCCCAGTCTTGGTCAAGTTAGAGGTTTATCAACCTCGATCTCCACAAAAGAACCCAGGTTTTTAATTTTCTGATTTCCCTTATTATCCTTCTGTTTCTTCTCCTTGGGTTTCTTTCTGGTCAGTATTTCCTTTTTTTATTTATTTTGTTTTTATTTTTATTTTAAAGATAGTAAAATACAACAAAACAATGCAGAACAAAGCCAATGAAGACAATGCAGTGAAACAGGTACAGAACCTCAGAGCAGGACACCGGCATAACAGTAATGGGTGCCATAGTGTATCTTTGTGTCTTCACAAGTGGTCCATTCAATCAGGTATAGCAAAATCAAACCAAGAACAGAACATTGAATAGAGCAAAACAATCAGAACAAAGCAAAACAGTGAAACAGTATTTGCCTTCAAAGACAAGGTGGAAGGAAGCCCCGTATTTGCTGTACTGCATGCGGTCATCCTCCCAAGAGGTGCTCAGACCGCTGGCCCTCTGGCCCTCTGGGCAGTGCTTCCTTCCTTCACTGTAATGTGGTGCCAGCTCCGTCCTCACGGAGGAGGCGGGAGCACCTGCAGGAGGAGGCTGCGTCTCCGAAGGGGAACTAAGTGCAAATCAGGGCTCAGGCTGGTTCCTGGAGCAATTCTCCTTCAGAAGAGCTCGAGGTCCTAGGAAAGCCACCTCTGTCCCTTCTAAAGTCACCTTCTCAGTGACTGAGGCCCTCCTGTGAGCCCCGGCCATTGCTCAGCACCACTGCCCTGGAGACCAGGCTCCGGGGACACATGCAGTGTCCAGGTCACAGCTGAGGCCGCCATGCACCTTGATGCGAGCACTGCTTCAGTATTAAATGGTGCTTTTCAGCATACTCTTTTAAATGTTGGAAAATAGAGACAAGAATAATGAAGGAAACCAGAGCAATGGTGCGCACACATCTGTGGTCTTTGCTACAGGAGGTTCTGAAGTTCACGGCCAGCCTGAAACATATGATGAGACCGTCTCAAAACAGCATTAAATTTGGGCATAGTAGCACATGCCTGTAATCCAAGCCCAGGAGGCTGAGGCATGAGGATCACCAAGCTTTGGGGCCAACCTGGAATACATAGTGAACTGAAGGTCAGCCCAAACACTGTCTCAAAACACAAAAAACAAAACCAGCATTAAAAGGGCGGGGGGGGGGGGCAAGAATATATCTCAGTGGCACAGCGCCTTCCTGGCAAGCACAAGATTAGGTTCCTGGTACAAAAAAAAAAAAAAAAAAAAAAAAGACTGGCTGGGGATTTAGCTCAGTGGTATAAACAACCTGCCTGGCAAGCACAAGGTTGTGAATTCAATCCCTGGTACCAGTAAAAAAAAGGTGTTACTGGTTCAATCCTTGATAGCAACGATAAACAAATAAATGCAAAATCATTTATTGCTTTCCCTCCCATACACAGCTGCTCGTTTGGGGGACATGGCATGTCCTGTGACCAATGGTGAGCGAGGATCTGTTCTCGGTCCCTGTCTGCTCAGGGTCTGGGCAGGCCCTCTCCACTGCAACTGTGTCCCTCTCTTCTCTCCCACTGACCTGAGAGGCATCATGCTGAGGTCAAGGATGTGTCCTAAGTCATCAGATGCAGAGACGGGAAGCAGAAAGTACCAAATCTAATTAGAGTAAAAGACACGACCTATGCTGCATGTGGTCATCACAGACTAAGAACAGCCTTCAACAACATCAAACCGACTGGCGGCAGCAGTCAGTAGCCAGCTGTGAGCAGTTGTGCCCATGGTATGCTCCCATGCAGGTCTGGGGGCGTCTGTTCCCTGGCATGTGTGTCCCCTGCACCTCCTTTCTGGAGGGGGAAACTGGGTTCTGCATCCTGGCTTCACGAGGTCTGTCTCTAGAGCTGCTCTGCTCTGGGGTGAGTTGAGGGTAACATTCCGTATGTCACTTCGATGGGAAGATGTTCCCCTCCTGGCCACCAGCTGAGTCATCATCTTCTGCTTCTGCCTGTTCTAACAGCTGGGTGTGGTGGCACACACCTGTGTTTCCAGAACTGGAGAGGCTGAGGCAGGAGGATCACCAAAGATTAGAGGGCAGCCTGGGCTACGCAATTATTCAAGGCCAGCCTGGCCTGTGTAGAGAGATGCTGCCTCAAAAAAGCAAAACAAAACCCAGGTGTGTGTTTCTACCTCGTGGTTTATTTGGTACTTTCTGAGGGGCGTGGTGGAGAGACACATGTGCCTGTAAACTTTTTTTTTTTAAACAGGGTCTTTCCATGTAGTTTAAGCTGGCCTTGAACTCACTATGTCTCCCAGGCTGGCCTGCAACCATAGCAATCCTCCTGCCTCAGCCTCCTGAGTGCTGGAATTACAAGCCCAGATAAAATACTTGGCCAATGACCATCTCCCTTTGATCTTGCCAGATAAATATTCTCTGCGTCCCTTTGTGAGTTATTTGTGGGCCTCAGTCACTGCTTCTTCATAATTCACTAACATTTAACACACAGGGCGCAGTGCTGTCATGGGACAGACACAGCAGTGGAGAAGACAGACAGGAAGGAGAACCTGGTGGAAGAGACGCAGTGGATGGGCAAGGACAGCGTCCCTGGTGTTCCCAGGGCCGCCTGAGAACCTGCGGAAACGGTCCACTCACGGGGCAGTCGGGTAACAGGACAGTGGGTGTGCTGTGTCTGAAACACAGGGCGCCTTTCAGCGGTCCTGCAGCCAGGTCTCCTCCAGCAGCCGCAGTGGGTCTGCAGCAGGCTGGACTCCTCTGTGTCCCCCTGCACCGCCCTTGGCGTCTCCCCCAGCCTGGCCGGGAACCGCAGGAAGCGGTGAGGTCTGGCCTGCAGTGGAGGTTTCAGAACGGTGGCCACCAAGGGCTCCCCCTCGGCCCCTCCAGGTTGCCGTGACCAGAGCCTGCGGCTGCGCCCGGTGAGGGGAGCGGAGCTCTCCCCAGAGCCCCAGGGAGGGCCCTGCAGCCAGGGGGCTGTGGAAAGGCCACTCCGGCCCCCATGCTGCTGACTGTGGGTCCTCGGCCTGGAGACTCCTGGGAAGGGAGAGAAAGCCCCAGGGGCTCCGGGCAGCGTCGTCGGAGGGACCTTCAGAGCCAGCGGCCAGAGCCAGCATCCTCTGCTCTCTGCTCGGAGCATCCTGTCTGTTCTTTGGTTTGTTTGAGACAGGGCCTTGCCGTGTATTCCAGGCTGGACTTGGACTTGCATCGGCCTCCGGCCTCAGCCTTCCGAGCGCTGGAGTGCTGTGGTTACAGAGTGCACGCGCCCGCCTGGCAGCACCTCATCTTACTAAAAGCAAATGTGTCCTAACAGCAGCTCTGGGCACCTGGGGTACCGCATTCTCTTGGGTGGTATCATTTGAGCGGGGTGGGACTCACTCTGGGGAGTGGGCATGGCCCTCGGGCTCTTCCCAGCCTGTGCTGGCTGCTGTGAGCGTGACCTGAAAGTTTGCTTCCTGTTCACAAAACCCCCTTCATCTTCCCGCGGGTTCCCCACAAGCCGCCAGGGCAGTCGAGCTGCAGTGCGGTTGCCGGCCAGCAGAGGGAGACGCCACACCGCGCGCCAACGACCTGCCCCGGGAAGCTTTCTCCACCGTGAAAGACGGGGAGGCGGGGCGGCTCCCTGCACCCTGAGAGGCCCCGGCGGTGGGGTACAAGTTTGAGCTCATGCTGGGCCATTTTGCAAGTTAACTGAGCAAGATCCTGCCTCAAAATGAGAGAGAGAGAGAAAGTGCAAGCAGACAGACAGACAAACGGATAAAAGGGCAAAAAGACAAACAGACAGAGGGACAGAATGAGAGACCAGAAAGCCAGCACTAGGCCAGGTGCTGTGTGGACTCCCAAGCATCCTCGCCCTGCCCTGCTGCCCCCTGCCCTCTGGCCCCTCTGGCAGGGCCAAGCTGGAGCCTTCACCACCTGTGTTCCCAGGTGGGGGTGCTTGTGGAGTGGGGCTGTTTTCCCCTAAGGTGCACGCTTGCATGAGAGCCAGGGTGCAGCAGTGGGCCCTCTAGGCTACCGCAAGGGACAGAGGATGTGTGCAGAGACCAGACGGGCTGGACAGAGATGGCCGAGGGCTTCCCAGCCTGTGGGATCTGCCCCCAACTGCAGGAGCCCTCGGACCCACAGAGGCGAGCTTCCTGGGCTTGCGTCACCCGGACCCTCACCACCCCTCAGGCTGCACCCTTGGCCCGAGGCTGGGCCAGAGGCAGGCTGGCCTTCGGGTCCCTGGAGGTTCCCTGGCTGCTCCTGGCAGTAGAAAGCACTGAGCCAGCGATGTCTGCTTTGGCCGCCAGAGGGCAGTGCTGACCAAAGCCAGCTGGGTCTGACTGCACCGGGCGGGAGGGGAGCTTGGAGCAGCCCCTGCCCCAGGCCTGGGCCCCAGGAGGCTCTTGGTCAGTGCCCACGGGATCTGCTGGCATCACAGAGATGCCCTGGGCTGCTGCCCCCATGGCCATGCGGGCCAGGCCTCACCTGCGGGCCTGGCAACAGGGTCAGCTAGCACTGACGCTGGTTTTTAATTCTAGTGCAAATTAAAACCACAGCACCAGTCCACAAGAAAAAAGCAACTTTAATTGGAGTGTTAGGGAGCAGACGGGGAA